TTATTTAAATATAAGAAAAACTGAAAATGAATTTGCCAGACATTAATTCGATTGTTAAGTCTTGAATTAAAATGATAAAGTATTGCAGTATGATGAAGCGTTGCATTTTAAGAAGCGCAATTTTTAATTTTTCCTTTTTAAATAAGTCTACCTGACATACTTTTTTTATTGCCAGACATTTTTCACATTGCTAAATATGTGCCAGACCCGATTTTAAGTTTTTTTTTTTATAAAAAATTCAAAGTATTTTAGAATGTCTGTGATTTAAATATTATGTTATTTAAATATAAGAAAAACTGAAAATGAATTTGCCAGACATTAATTCGATTGTTAAGTCTTGAATTAAAATGATAAAGTATTGCAGTATGATGAAGCATTGCATTTTAAGAAGCGTAATTTTTGATTTGTCCTTTTTAAATACGTCTACCTGACATACTTTTTTTATTGCCAGACATTTTTCACGTTGCTAACTATGTGCCAGACGCGATTTTAAGTTTTATTTTTTTAAAAATTTCAAAGCATTTTAGAATGTCTGTAATTTAAATATTATGTTATTTAAATATAAGAAAAACTGAAAATGAATTTGCCAGACATTAATTCGATTGTTACGAAAGTTCCCAAGAAGATGATATGAATGACACCGACAAAGACAGCGACGATGATGATGATGATTATGAAGATGCCTCTTTTTTGTGACGTCACTATAGGCTAAAACAACTTGTAAAACTTAATATTAATTATTCATAGCTTACATTTAGTAATTAGGACAATTTAAATAAAGTGTTGATTATTAATTTTAATCTAATTTTATATTCCTTTTTATGCTCGTACTACAAGCATTATACTGCAATACTTTTCATGACTTTTACATTTTAATTCAAGGCTTAACAATCGAATTAATGTCTGGCAAATTCATTTTCAGTTTTTCTTATATTTAAATAACATAATATTAAAATTACAGACATTCTAAAATGCTTTGAAATTTTTATAAAAATAAAACTTAAAATCGCGTCTGGCACATAGTTAGCAACGTGAAAAATGTCTGGCAATAAAAAAAGTATGTCAGGTAGACGTATTTAAAAAGGAAAATCAAAAATTACGCTTCTTAAAATGCAATGCTTCATCATACTGCAATACTTTATCATTTTAATTCAAGACTTAACAATCGAATTAATGTCTGGCAAATTCATTTTCTGTTTTTCTTATATTTAAATAACATAATATTAAAATTACAGACATTCTAAAATGCTTTGAAATTTTTATAAAAATAAAACTTAAAATCGCGTCTGGCACATAGTTAGCAACGTGAAAAATGTCTGGCAATAAAAAAAGTATGTCAGGTAGACGTATTTAAAAAGGAAAATCCAAAATTACGCTTCTTAAAATGCAATGCTTCATCATACTGCAATACTTTATCATTTTAATTCAAGACTTAACAATCGAATTAATGTCTGGCAAATTCATTTTCAGTTTTTCTTATATTTAAATAACATAATATTAAAATTACAGACATTCTAAAATGCTTTGAAATTTTTATAAAAATAAAACTTAAAATCGCGTCTGGCACATAGTTAGCAACGTGAAAAATGTCTGGCAATAAAAAAAGTATGTCAGGTAGACGTATTTAAAAAGGAAAAATCAAAAATTACGCTTCTTAAAATGCAATGCTTCATCATACTGCAATACTATATCATTTTAATTCAAGACTTAACAATCGAATTAATGTCTGGCAAATTCATTTTCAGTTTTTCTTATATTTAAATAACATAATATTAAAATTACAGACATTCTAAAATGCTTTTAAATTTTTTAAAAATAAAACTTAAAATCGCGTCTGGCACATAGTTAGCAACGTGAAAAATGTCTGGCAATAAAAAAGTATGTCAGGTAGACGTATTTAAAAAGGAAAAATCAAAAATTACGCTTCTTAAAATGCTTTTAAAATCCAGGATTATTACCTGGACAGATAGGATGCGCACTAATGAACGCAACCGTTACCGCCAGCCAGATTGCCCAGACTCTAACCGGAAGTGCAAGAAGGAAGACATATCACAAAATCAGCTGACCTAAAATTCTTTTTTTTCAAACGTTGCTACCTCCCGTACTATTATTAACGAATAACAATACGTAAATTTTCAAATTATTTTAATCAATTTTCAAATAGTCCCTTAACAATCAAATTGCCCCTCTAATTAATCAAAGGGTCAGACATTTAAATATGGTTAAATTTGACAATCCGATTTTATATTCAAAGCAATATAACTGATAACGTGGTTTCTTAGCAGCAAATTACGCTATAGTCAGCAAGTATGGTCTGAGTTAAATTCAGTTAACTCACTGCAGTGACACCTGAAGTTAGGGTCGTAGCGCCAAACTTTATATCTACGAAGTAATATGATTATAATCTTGTTTAATCCAATTAGCCATTTGGTTTTATGGCCAAATCCCTTCATAAAGGCCGCGTTATCGCAATTTAGCGATCTCATTCAAACTAGTTTATTTGCTTCTAATTATATTTTAATTTTACCATTACTTTTTGGTTACACTTAACACTTAACATCAGGTGAGCCTCCTGCCCGTTTGCCTCCTATTACATAAAAAAAAATATGTAAAGAAATAATTATATTCCTTAATTTAGCTTATTTAGATTAGTAATTATCTATAATGTGTTAACTGAAGTTTTATTTAATTTGTTTGTTAGTCTGTGGAAAAGACGCTAGTGGCTTGTCATTTAAATTTTAATTCGAAGATTTTTTGTTAGAAAATTTTGGATTGTAAAAGAAATCGGATAAAAATATTTGTTTTCAAGAAAAAATAACAATCCCTAAATGTTGTTTCGTTTACATCTGTCAGCAACACATATGAGGTTCATTCATCATATATATATTAATTAATCACTGCAATAGACACGTATATCCACCTTTGCCTTTGATCTGCCTTTTATAAATCATATCAAACACGAATATTAACCATAATAACTGTGAAAGCTCAAGCATAAAGCGCTTTTCATTTGGCTGTCCGAGAAACATTTGCTTTATGACATTATCAAAAGCTATTTATTTTTGCTTCAATTGCTTAACATGAGTTGTCTACGCCAGACATTGGCAAAGCAAACATTAAATGTTTGATATATTTTTGATAGCTCGCTCTAAAAATAGAAATAGATTGTTTACAGTTCTGTTGTTTTAAAACGTAATTGAATTTTCATTTCTTGAAACGATACAAAATGCATCTGTGTAAGAAGAAATAAGTAAATAAAGAAAATTAAAAACATATTCAATTAAATTTTGGGTATACTTATTATACACACGTTCGAAATCATTTATAACACAATATTAACAAAATAATCCTTTGTTTTTATAATTTATTTATTTATGTTATCTCTTCACGTTTATAATATTTGCCATGTGCTTGTCACAGTAAATATTGTATTTTATTTTTCTTGTACCAATGAGCTAAGCGTCGGCAAGCCTTTATAAAGAAATTAATATTTTTACTGGGGAACGAAAGAGAGGCAGGTAGATAAGAAGATAGGAAGACGATATAAAAAAGGTTGCGGGTCCAATGTGGATTCGAACCGCCTTGGTGGCTTTGTCAAAGGAAAAGTAAATAAATAACCGTTTGCCGATAGATAAGGATAGGGGCTAAATATATACATACTTTTTTTTATCTCTTTTTTGTACATTTGCTCGTGTTTTATTAATGGAACAACAAAAGTCAGTTTATTTTTAATAATGTAAGTGAACAGAAATCCTTTAAGTTGTTGTGTATATTTTTATTTTGATAACATAAATCTAAAATTTATTTATAAATAAGCATACTATAAGTGTTATTCATATATATACTATATTAAAGATATACATTCAGTGGCTACTTAAGCCTTAAATAAATAAATAAAATATGTTTATTATGGAATATAAGATACAGGTATCACTTATTCCACGTCATTAAATTTGAATAGGTAGACAACCCTACTCATCGGCAAAGAAGACAGAGGGTGTAGGCCGAGAGAAAAGCCGGGGTAAAAAACTCTCGGTACTCTTTTAAAATAGCAAATCATCAAACAACACTTATTTTAAAACAAACATCGCAAATTAATTAAAACTTATTTAACTAATATACATTAGTGTAAAATTTTATTATATTCCAGCTAATGTAGTAAAAGTTAACACTAAACACGTTTTATAAGAACAAAGAAAAACCGATGCACAAGCTTTTAAAAGAGTTAAGGAATCAGCTATTATTATGCTAATTATATTCGTTATTGCAAACACTCTAGAGAGAATTGTCTTTAAATACATTTCAATTTAGGGTCCTTCAAAAAAGAGCGTACCAATTCTTAAAATGCCAGCAACGCACTTGCGAGCCTTCTGGCAATGTAAGTGCCCATGGGCGGCGGTATAACTTACATCGGTGAGCCTCCTGCCTGTTTGCCTCATGTTACATAAAAAAAAAGCTTTTATGCAAAGTGAAAGTTATTTAGATTATAAAAAATATTGATTGGAGCAACATTCAACCGATATTTCATTTTTGGCAAGTATTTTTCATCTCGCTAGCACCTGTCTACACAGTATCGATTTTTACTCCAAAAATTGTCGGTTTCTTGCAATCTTTTCCAATACCAAACGAGTAAGAGAAAATTTATTTGTTTACCAAAATGTATACGTATTTTATTTTTATTTTTTTATAAAGACAATTCACACCAAATGACCTAGTCCCATGCTAAGCTGGTGAAGCTTGTGTTATACACATACATATTATAGATAGATAGACATATAAATACATATTTAAACACCCAAGATCTAAGCACAACACCAAATGCTCATCACATCGATGTTCGTCTCAGCCGGGGATCGCACCCGGGACCCATGAATTCGCTGTCAGAGGTACTAACCACTAGACCAATGAGTCGTCAAACGAGTCGTATGCATAATTATCAAAGGCAAACGTATTTGGCTAACACTGTTCTCATTATATAGTCTAAAAATAGAAAGGAAATCTCACCGATTCGACCTTTGTTCATTCACCCCCTGTACCAAGTACTTAGTTACGGCGACGCGTTCATCCTGGATCGCCAACACAGACTCACAATGTAAGAAAATTGCCGCCACCTGTAACAAAACTTTAGGAAAAGTATAGTATTTCTAATCATCTGTAATAAACGCTGTATATTATTCAACAGTATTATAATAATATCGTGCATAAGAGTAAAAATTGTTGGTGAACTGACCGTTTTATTTTACATTTATTTATTTGCACCTACGTGAAAAGTAGATTAAATGTTCTTCAACGATTTTATCAATAACTCAATCTAATAGTGAAGTATATGAAGAGTTTCATGTGTCACTGAGATGTTGCACGTCTTTGTTCGCTTGCAAACAGGGTTATTTTACCAGATCTAGAACATATGGCGGGAAGTGACTTTATTTCACAATAATAGGTATTTTCACACAAATAAACCTTCCTTTTATATTACTCGATTTATTGATAAATACGATACGTAGTTTAAAACATCCAAGCGTTTATACAGCGAAAAGCGACGATGATACTATCATTATCTAATACATAAAATTCTCGTGTAACAATGTTCGTTCGCATACTCCTCCGAAACGGCTCCACCGATTCTTATGAAATTTTTTATGCATATTCAGTAAGTCTAAGAATCGGCTCCTATCGTTCAAACCCCAAAGTGATAAGGGGTGTCCACTCCAAAAAAAATGTATTTGCATTAAAAAATACATACAACCCTTAATTTTCACCCCTCTACGATCAACCCCTATTTTTATTATAGAAGATAGTTATTTTATTGAACTAAAAAAATTTTTCCTAGAAATAATATCCATGGCAAAACAACGTTTGCCGGGTCAGCTAGTAAATTATAATATTTAATCTAATATTTAAAATTATTTTAAAACATACCTTGTGGTCAAGAAATAAGGAAGCGTCCATAGTGTGTGACAGTTGGGCCATGGCTGTACAGTTTTGAAAGACAAGAGCTGCATGAGGTACGAAACACAGCACCAACATCTGTAGTAGAAATATTTTCCGTCCTCGCCTACAAAAATAAAAATATAATATATAATAAATAATATTATTTGACACGTATATTTATTTGTCAATATTAACTCATATAGTACAGTAACATAAGTAATAACCCACTGGTTGAGCGTGAGATTCTCAATCGTGAAGGGTTGCGTTCGAAGCCTGGGAAATTAACAAGTAGGTACTGTATACGGAATTAACAAAATACGATGAGGAAAAATATCTAAATTAAACAATCATGTTTTAGACCTAAATGGAGAAGGCAAAACACCTGCTTTCCTAAAGAAAAATAATAAAAAATACGCCCCAGGAGTGTACGGAATTTAATACAAAATAATTGTCGTAATAATTGTCTACCCCATGCCCCATTACGGAGTTTCGGGACTTGATGACATGCATAAGATTCTTTGTGTAGGACGAATTCTCTATTTTTTATTGTGACATATTTCTTTACAATCTAACTTTAGAACCATTGTAGTTTTAACTTCTACGTAGCACTTCTACGCTGGTGATTTTCGTAGACGCGATGTAGCGTGTATCGCCTACGACCAGTCTACAATTGCTCAAGTACTTTTAAGTTAATCCGTTTAGATTGTCAGGTTTATAGATAAATATCTAGATTACAATAATGAGATTGTGTTATGTGTGCAGTGCCTGTGCCTGTGTGCATTCACTAAATACCATAAAATTTAGAAAAATATTGCTCGTTATGTTCAGATTTCATTTGAACATGGACACGGCTGACGTGGCTGTTCCAAACTTTAATAGCTGAAGATGCGATACACCGGCAGCTCACGAGAGTAATTTAAATATGTATTATTTGAGTATTGACCAAATGCTGTTACGGCTCACGTGGTTATTCTAAATTTTAATAGCTAAAGGTGCGAGATACACCAACAGCTCAAAATAATAATATTATGAAGGTGTAAGTAGAATTTAAGATATTGTTTTATAACAATAAATGTATCTATTTCTAGCTTCCTCTCAAAGAGGTGAAGACTCCTTCCACCCCTTAATTATCGTGGTGAGCCTGCCCGATAGCTATGAGATAATCCCACCACCTTTCATCCTACCCGTAGGGCTCCGTCTGTTACCTTAGATCTCTTGTTGCAGACATCCCGTACATATTTATATATTCACTATTTATGTGTTACGGTACGTCTGTAGGACTTAGGGATTCGTAGAGTTGTTAGGTTCATAGGCTCACCCTCTCTAATGTTTAGTTATCTAGTTCAGCTTGCTAATTCATCCACAACATATACCATACAGATACTCCTTCACAGTTGGCTGGCAAGCTGTTCAGGGTTTTTTTGAATATGTTCGGTGAATGCACACTTTTAACAGTATTAGGCAAGCTATTGAAATATTGTGCTCCCTCGTAAGTAATAACCCACTTTCCATATTTGGCCGTCCTCGGCTTGGGTAAAACCATATATAGGCATATAAAATAAGGTTGTACTTACTCAGTAGCCAAATTGATATGTAAACAGCCAACTTTGACAGGAACCAGCTGAGGGCCATTGCGGTCAGACGGCGTAGTGCAATGAGAGGAACTCTCGATTCTAAGTGTATTTGATAGCATTGTTCTAAAAAAAAATATTCACAGATTAGCATATTTTTTTTCTATACACAGTGACTTAAACTTCTTTAAGAAAATAGGTGCCTGCCCTGCGATTCTGTAACTCACTTTTCGAACTCACACAGCGGTTTTCGCATCGGCGGTCGCTCTCAAATCAGTCGTGAAGCAGTCATTTTATGATTTGGCATTCTGAAAAGGTGGGAGCTTGTAGTTTATTGTTTATTAGAATGCCAAATCATAAAATGACTGCTTCACGACTGATTTGAGAGCGACCGCCGATGCGAAAACCGCTGTGTGAGTTTGAAAAGTGAGTTACAGAATCGCAGGGCAGTTCTTAAAATGCAGGTTGCACTCTATGGATTTGTGTGTCTATAGGCGGCGGTATCACTCAAAACAAGTGAGCATCTTGCCCGATTACCTTTGTTCTATAAATAATATTTACAAAATGATTCACTGTCGGCACTTAAGAATAACCATTATCAGAAAATAAAAGGCCACACTGAATAAGCATTCCGTTTTTGGGCTGTTCTTGTCAGGTTCTCGAATTACCCGTTAATCTTAAAATACAAAAGATCTTACAGAGTTCTGCTCAATGAGAAAAAGAAAACAATGGACTGGGGTTTGAGATGGATTTTGAATGGAACTGTTAGAATTATTTAAATAATACAAACAAGTAAAATATGTAATAAAATAATCAGAATATCAGACTATTAAATGGCGATACTATAACATGATAATTGAGACGAAATACATACTGCTTATTACCATCTTATTTATGAACACTAAACAATTTTATGTTTGAAAATTAATAAATAGCCAAAACCCAACGTAAACAATTTACCGCTGAAACTCGGTAACAAGTTTAAATATTCAATTTCTATGAATACCTCCAAGATTTACCTCATATTTGGAGACAACAAAGAAGTGAAAATGTGGAAAAACATCTCCCTTTTTTCTAAAATTTTATATTTTACTAGCACACCCGGCCAAGCGTTGCTGTGGCTAAGGTTTTTGTTATACATAGTAGTAAACTATTCAAGGGAAATGGTAGGAGAACAACTCATGGGGACCACCATGCTTTATTGGTGGTTATGCCATTAAATTGTAGCTTATGTGAAACGTTGGTACTTTCAACACAGCGCCATCTGTTAGAATTGTGACTGTCAAATAATTTGCAATAAAATAATATTGCGGGTATAAATTAAGATGTTAGTTATCCTATCTTTTAAGTTAGATCAAACTGCACACGGTGTTCAAATTTGATTGAAATCGATTAAGTAGTTTAGGAGTCCACAGCGGACAAAACAACGTGACGCGTAAATTATATATATTTAGATTTGTAATATTATTTTGAATTAAAAATTACTGTTAATGAATTCACTCATTCTATTAGTCACAAAATTCATTTATAAGCCGGTGACCTCAGAGCTGGTACTTTCCTCGCTCAACGGATCGCATCAAAGTATCGCAATACAGCGAGGTTACAGCACGAGCACTAAAGGTACACTGCTACATGGACCTTATTAAATATGTTTTCATTTTCTATTCATCAATTTTTAATTATTATTGTGTAGGTTAAGAATATAGTAAATACTGTATCCTTAATATTAATTATTTCTCAATCAAATTTATTTAGAAGCCTTTTTAACATAAGTTAATACAAGAAACAATTGTTTTACTTCGGTTAAATTTGTTTCATGTTCGTCACATCAACACTAACTAGACAGCTTTGTTTTTGTGTTAAAACGAAGGGAAAAGGGAAACTGTTTACCATGATACGGTATTAGCGGTATGCATATTATGTTACATCTGTACTTAGATATGGAATTATAGTTTGGGGAAATTCTGTCGAAGTCAGTAGGGTATTTAAGGCTCAAAAGAAATGTATTAGAGCAATTTGTAGAGCAAACTGTCTTGATAGTTGCGTACCTTTATTTAAGAAGCTCAAAACTTTATCTCTTCCCTGTTTTGTATATTAGAAATGTCGTTATTCGTGCACAGAAACATATTTTTACGTCGAATGTAGGAGTCGAAGTAAGAAGAAGATATGAGGAGAAATTGGCTGTGCCGAAAATCAATATGGAACATTTTAGGAAGAAGAGTTTTGTATGGCCATTAAGGTTTACAATAATTTACCTAAGCAATTAAAATATCTACCGACTAGATTCTCTAAAAATCGATTTGGTGTATCACTTTTGGAAAAAATGTATTATGCAATAAATGATTATTTGCGTGAGACACTGTAGAAGATATAAATTAAATAACGTATGATATGATATGTACGATACAAATAATATAAGAACTGACCAATTCATATGACTAATAATGTAAAATTCCTTTAAAGACAAATTTGCGCGCCATTGTGTGTGGTAGTATATGCGAACTTATGATTGTACCACTTTACACATTTTTGTACCATATTCTTACAATCAATTATTATTATTTTAAAAATCTCAGTTTAGTATCGCACAGCCCGGACATACAACGACCAATATTTAAGCCATGACTTGTTTAAGCTATCGCGGAATATGGTTAAAGTGAGTTTTAAGAATATCCATAGCGCAAAATCACCTGCATCATGAGCAGACCCCACATAGAAACCTTCACGTACATACTCTCACTTTTACACCATCACAACACAGCCAAAATAGGTATGAATTAGTTAAATGTATTGAATATTTTTTATTATTTTTTACCTTTTTGTAAATATTATGTAGTCCATCTTTGGCTATATTTTTAGTGTAATTGTTTGTTTTTATATATAATACTAGCTGACCCGGCAAACGTTTGTTTTGCCATGTATATTATTTCTAGGAAACATTTGTTTAGTTCAATAAAAATAACTATCTACAATAATAAAAAATAGGGGTTGATCGTAGAGGGGTGAAAATTGGGGGTTGTATACATTTTTGTATGCTGTATCATAAAAAAATAAAACAAAAAAAAAGTAAAAAACAATTGGGTTTGAAATATATATAGTAGCCGATTCTCCGACTTACCGAATATGCATAAAAAAACATAAGAATCGGTCGAGCCGTTGCGGAGGAGTATGGGAACGAACATTTTGACACGAGAATTTTATAATATATAGATTGTTAGCTGTAGGATTACGAAATAAACAAATATATTTAGAAATTATGATGAAAAGGTGTTGTTAAGTTTGTTAATCGTAACATATAAACGTATTTGCTCATAAATTAATTTATTAAACTTCCTAAGATGTTGGAGTATGAGCAAATGAATCTAACAAGCCTTTCCTTAATCGGTTTAATGAGGGTACACTTCTGGATTTCTTTGGCCTACACCCGTATTTGCCATCGCAATTACGTTCAAACTTTCGGCGAAATACAGAAATTTACTCCTATTACCTTCAGGAATTTATCTAATTAAAAAGGTTTGGTACGGTAATGGGGAAGTATGTAGATATAAGCTCATAATAACAGTAAAAGTACGAAAGTTAAATTTGTCGAATCAACATATCTTCAACACTCGGCAATGTATGTACCATGTGTACCATGCAATAATGTGGTGGCGCATGCTCTTCAACCCCATAAAAATTAATTAAAACATCATGATAGAAATGAATGAAAGAAGGTACAAATTTTTGGCTCTAACCTTATGTAATTAATTCACTGGCAACTGAGACAATATTTTATTTATAAAAACACTCCTGCCCTGACAGGCGACCCTAAATTGACAAGAGTGTACAATAAGTGAATAAAATTTACAGACGAAACAAAAAAATCAAACATACAAAATTAATTAGGAAAAACAAAATTACATAATAAAAAAGGGTACGTGTACTTATGTACGCGCGTAAGAAGTTATACTTCTTTGGCATTATTAAAAATAGTTTTTGATTGCATGCAAATCATTCATTACAATTAAATAATCAAAGACTGGAAAAGGATAGTCTAAACTATAGTCAATAAAGTTCAGTTTACATTTGAAAAATTAAATAAATAAATATTTATTATTATTCTCTTACATTAAGTATAAATTCTATTATTATTTGAATGTATATTATAGTAAAATTTCACTCTCATTAATTTTTCATAACGCGCCTAAAGAAGTATAACTTCAAAAATACAAGAAAGTAACTAACTACTATAGGCACTAACAAATAATAGAACTTTTGCCAGTTCACTCAACGGACAATGAAAAAGCTCCGTTAACCTATGTAATTCGTTAACTAAATTAATACACCGAATCATCTGAGCCTTTTTCAGAAGGTTAGTCCTAGCTGTGGGCATATGAAATTACGGCGGACGATGTCGCTTTCTGACGTACCCATCAGGTACATTGAAGCTAATGTACTGAAGTACTGTCCTTGCCATGTAATAATTAGAGCTCACTTCACCTTCAAAGGCCAGCAACCCACTATAATAGGAGTAGATGGACTGCGGTGGGCCTATGGCTGTCCAGTGAGTTCGTTTGCCCTATATTATAAAAAAACGTGCGCCAAAAGAGCGTTAAAATTGTCTGGGTTTCGACAAAATGAATGTGCCGTACAAAGTAGCACAGCGGTCGGCGCTTGTTACTGAGAATTGGTTGGCGGGTGTGTAGGGAGCAGGCGGCGGGTTACAAAAAATATTCAGATACACAACATGTTAAAAGGAAATTTAAGTTTGACTTTTATTTTAAAACATTGAGAGCAGTGTTGGCCTAGTGGCTTCAGCGTACGACTCTCATACCTGAGGTCGTAGGTTCGATCCCCGGCTGTGCACCAATGGTCATTCTTTCTATGTGCGCATTCAACATTTCCTCGAACGGTGAAGGAAAACATCGTGAGGAAACCGACATGTCTTAGACCCAAATAATCGACGGCGTGTGTCAGGCATTGGAGGCTGATAACCTACTTGCCTATTAGATTTAAAAATGATCATGATACAGATTCAGAAATCTGAGGCCAAGACCTAAAGAGGTTGTAGCGCCACTGATTTTGTTTAAACAATGCTTGTAGACAACTGTATTTTTATTTTTAAAAGCTACTATTTTTCCTT